CCGAATATCGTCAAGTGCGAAATTCAAAGTTAATTTTCTCGAAAACAAGGCCTCGAATGAAAATAAATGATTCTACATTTGGTCATGTAATATCACCCCCTCCACGATTGTATCATCAATACTAGGACACTCTGTATATATGAAATGAATATACTTTTCGTGAGTAATCATAGAAATTTCGCTCACTATAGAAGAAGCACATACTACACGTAGTAAGTGAAATATTTTTACGGTGATGTCCAGCAGCATAAGATTTGGTCTTTAGTGGGGGCACGTCGCAAAAATAGCAAACGGAGGACTCATAAAACATGTATGCATGTCTGTACATACATACGTTCATATGTAAGCTATAACTCAGAAGTACGAAGAAGTAAAGACGAATTTATGATTCATGTTCCCGCCGTAGTTTCGTGTCGGATTCTAAGCCGCAAATTCTTCGCAAAGTCGCCTCGGCGGCTTCGTCAGCCGATGCCCATTGATTTGGAAATTACGCAGCACTCGAACTTCTGTTTCCTCGCTTTAAAATCGAACAAAAGGCTCCACAAATTTTCAGTTTCGCAACAAGAGTTGAGAAATTGAAATGGCGCACGTTGGCTTCGGGAATAAGAATTTGTTTTCCTGTCTACGAGAACGGTTCGTCTTAGAAGCTTTCCACGGTGGAATATTTGAAAGTTCTCCTTCGTATTCCGGCGTGCGATAAATACGTCTTACGTTAAAGGATCCCAGTAAGAATAAATAATCCACGGTATTACCTCGACATAAATAAACGTTTGTTTCTCACCTCCTCCGTTCCCCGCGAACGGAAGCGCCATATTCATTTACATCCGCAGTTAGAAACGGCATCGGTACGTAGTTTCCTTCCCTTAACGTCTGCCAACAAGAATTCTTGGAAAAAGCATACGAAAGAAGCGGGCGAGGTCGAAAGATAAACGAGTTTTTCGTTCCTCGTCAGAGTTCTTGGCATCGCGCGGCCAATCCCGCGCTATTTGTGCCACCGCGCCGCGGTCAGACCTCCTCTTTTTTTATTTGCTCTCGTTACTCGAAGATAGACGTACGGCGACGTTAAAGTCACGATCTCGTTAAACTTCGCCCAGAATCGTTTGAAACCCCTAAAAGACCGGAAAACGCAAGGAAAAAAGCGAAGCGAATAAAAAAAGCTAGAGAGACTGAGAGGGGAACATGAATTTAGAGTTAGGGCAAACGTTACGGAAGTTTTAACATATTTAGAGGCTAAGAAAAACTGAGCGAATGGAAAAAGCTATCTTTCCTGAAGATGTACAGGCTACTTAATTACGCTTAATTGAATTTAAATTGACTTCTTTCCGTCGTCCTAAGACTTCGATTCGCAGTGCTGATCAAACGATTTAATCTTCGACTCGAGAGTATCCTTTCCCATTTTAAACAGGTACTATGTATAGTAGCGGACGAAGGATTAAAGTGAAAAGGAGGTACGAGAGGAATTATATATTTTGTATAGAAAATGTAAGTGATTTAAAACCTTCATGCAAAGCATGTTTCGTGTCACAGTTTCTACTTATTAGCGTTAAACTTATATAAAAATAAGCCAGTGATT